AGCAGGGAGCTGGGGGTAACTGTCTTCCTGTTATCTGGGGAGATCAGCTCATGGTACCTTAACTTAGAAAGCTCCTCTGCAATAGGCAACTGTATGACATCATTGCATAGTAAATGACCAGGAAGAGTCACTTACAGACCTCAAATTTATGGCTGTGGATTTGACTCCCTTCATTAATTCTGTATCTTTCCTCTACTATAGAAACAGCACTCCAGATGTGGCCTCTCTAGTGCGAGTAAAGGGGAAGGATCATCTCCCTCAGCCAGATGGTAATGCCCTTCCTAATGCAACCCAGGATGCTGTTAGGCTTCTTTGGGTGCACTGCTGGCTCACAGTCAGCCTGGTGTCCCCCAGGATCCCAAGATCCTTTTCTGCAGATCTGCATTCCAGCTGGTGGGCCCCAGGCAGTATTGGTGCCTGAGGTTATTCCTACCTACATGCAGGACTTCATATTTTCCCTTGTTGAATTTCATTAGATTCTCCTCAGTCCAACTCTCAAGCCTGTCCAGATCCCACTGAATGGCAACACAACCCTCTAGAGGACCAGCCACTCCTCTCAGTTTTGTACCATCTGCAGACTTTCTGAGGGTGCATTCTGTCCCAGTGCCCAGGTAACTAATGAAGAATATTGGCACCCATGATGAGCCTTAGGGAACACTGCTAAAGACTCACCTCTGACTGGATTTTGTGTGACTGATTGCTTCCCTCTGGGGCCCAGACATTTAGGCAGTTTTAAATCCCTGTCACTGTTCACTTGTATAACATGTACATTGCTACCTTGCCTATGAGGGCATTATGGTATACAGATGCTTCAAAGTATGTTGGATTAAATTTTCTTAGATTAATAGCACAGATTTTTAAAATACCTTTGAGCACCTTATACTAAGTATCTAATGGGATTTTAAATAGAGCTAGATAAGCTAAATACTCTTTGTTTTTCAGACTGTGTTTAGTAACAACTTTGGTAAAACTAACTGAGTCAGTTTTGTATTGCTGTAGAGTTTATTGTGGCAGACAGCTTACCCCTTGAATGTGTAAGTCATCACCTAACAGCAGCCCTGAAAGTCTGCATGGACAGAATTACATTTATAAAACCACTCTCCCCATGTAACCCTCACCTTGAAACTTCAAATTAGCACTTTCCTCCTAAATTTGCTTATAGTTAACCTACCAAGCTTGCTTCACTTCCTCAAGAACATAACTAGACACTATTTTAATTAAAATTAGCAAATATGTCTAAAAGTGATAGACTCCACACTCCACAAATGATCAGTTCTGGCAACAGTTTTTTATGATTTATCTCCAAATGTTTGTGAATTGTCTGGGCTGTCATTTCAAAATGTGTTGACTAACTCATGTTAATTGACAATTACTCTGCGTGGGTTAAATAGAAGCTGTTAGTCCGTAAACTACGACTACTTCCCAGACTGCACACTGAGATCTGATTTTAAAATCTGAGGAAGACACAAAGACACGAAATAATCCATAGTAAAGACAAACTGTACACATACTATATACATACATGCTACTCCTCAAACTTATATATATATACATACTACTACAGTAAATTCCACCATGGCCTAACAGTGACCTCTTTGAGGTCTTGTTTGGTGAGCAACTTTCCTGATGCTGGCAGGCTCATAGGCCCCTTAGTGAAGTTTTGTTAACATGCTAGCAAAAACTCACAACAAGTGGTGCCCATGTCAGTGCTGTTCCTCCTTGTATAAACTTCCTTTCACCCAGTTGACTGTTGCTGCTGAAATCATAGATACGCACTGACCCTGTGTGGAAAGGAGACAGTAAGAACTTATTTCTTGAAATACCACTTACATGTTAGGATTAATCATGGAAGCATAGAATCATAGAATCAACCAGGCTGGAAAAGACCTCAAAGATCACCGGGTCCAACTCTACCGTGGTTACTAGACCATGGCACTAAGTGCCACATCCAGTCTCATCTTGAAAACCTCCAGGGATGGTGAATCCACCACATCCCCGGGCAGCACGTTCCAATGCCTGATAATTCTCTCCATAAAAAATCTCTTCCTAATGTCCAACCTAAACCTCCCCTGGCAGGAGAAATGTAGAATGGAATGGAGAAATGTCTATTTATTTGAATTAAAAGCTGGATAGAAAGTATTTTTGCTTTTTTGAGTAATAAAATGGCTGCCTGGAAAGATATGATGGTTACAGAATACTACAGCTAGCACGATGCTCATGAACAGAACACATGCTTTCTTCACTCTCTGACTTAGACAGAACCAAGAGCTGTCAAGGCTGAGGGTTGTAATAAGAAGTCTCATGCTGACCATATGTAATTTTCAACTAAGCACAGAACTGTGGCACACTCTAAGGAAAACCTGTACTGACAACATAGGAAAAGATGTTATGCTACTAACTGGGATTGCCTAGGGAGGAACACATTTAAAGAGAGGAAAATATTGAAATGAATAAAAATGGGAGATTGTCCATGGAAAATCCAATTTCACCAGAGGTAAAATTAACAGACTTGTAGGCAGACATATTGGTCTGCATAAAATTCCATTCCAGCTGGCACATATCCATAGTGTCATTTGCTCAACTGGTAGGAGTTTGTCTTCAGGCTCGAAGAGCTTGTACATTGTATAACACAGACAAATGACAAGATACTGCTGACAAGAATTGAGTTAAAAGACTTTGTAGCATTTTCTGAGAAGTGTAAATTACATTGTTAATGTCCCGGCCAGTGGGTTTTCTTTCAAAGCATGATAAAGCTAACTGTGAGAGGCCTAAATGGCAATATTTATATAGGTCAAGTAAATGTGTCTATAATTACATGTTATCTGTTGTTGAGAGCATCACAGCTATAGCATTTTCTAAGAAAGACACAAATGTTAATATTCTCAATGGCTTGTACAATGTATGTAATTCCTTACAGAACAAAAATCCCAACAGTTATCAATCCAGAGCCTTGAACAAGTGTTGTTATTCAAACCAGATGTCTCACCTTTTCAGCCGTTCTTTCAGAACAAACAGAATTCATGAAGCTTCCCATTAAAAACTTCTGTTGTTGAAATCCCAGGATTTTAAGCTGAAGCAGTCTTAATGCATTAGTTCCAAACATTAACGATTTGTCTTAACTATTACAGAACTGATCCCAGGGATAACAACTTTCTGTAAAGTAACTTTGCAAAACCAAATACACAACTGCAGTACAAAACAGCATAGTTCCAAACCAAGCATCATTGCTCTTCCAAAACAATGCTGAGAATGGTATGAGAGGAAAGGAATAGTGTACTTACGGTCAAGAGCTGTGGTGGCCATAAAGTATGCACCGGGAGAGACACTCACGGCCTCAATACTCCCAGAGTGAAAGGTATACAGACACTCTGGATCACGAGTCTGCAGTACAAAACAGAACAGAAATTCTGCTGTATTCTGCAGCTGAGCTCACAAGCCATTACCAGTCACTTTCAGCAAACCTGAAACATCTAGACAGGTGCTGTTTGTGTGAACAAAATTTGGCATGCATGATATACCTATATGCAATTCCCTTCATTTTATTTAAATGTTCACAAGAAGATCATGAGCAAAATTAGCATATTAGCATATTAGCTCATTTAAAATTCTGTCATTTTCTATGTGAATACAAAGGCAAATGCCTTTTTTAACTGGTTTCAGGCTTGGAATTTGTGTTTTTAACAAAGAGCTGTTGTGCTGAAGGCAAAGAAAATGTTCTCAAGCTTGGGCTTATGCTGCCTGGGAAATCATTTCATCATCCAATAAATCCTAGGTTTTGCTATACATTTCTTACATTATGTACATCTTTTATTTACCATAAAATTATTGGAATATATTTTACCTTTTACAACAGAACTTTATTCCACTCAAGGGATTATTCCCATTCACTTTAATGTGTTCAGGAGCAAAAATCAAATGCCCTCTTTTTCACCTGTCTCTCTCTCCATCAAAAACATCCCCAGCAGTAACACTAGTAACCAGTAGGAAAAAATATTTCAAGAGCATTTCATCTTCTCCTTGTTTTTTCTAGTTCTGTCATTTAATGACCACAATAATGATTGTTTCAAGAACCTGTCTAGAAAGAATATACCAATACCCCCTGAAACCATTTCCTTCCTCCATGCAACTTTCATTACAAGTTTATGGCAATAAAACTCTTTTAAAGTAACTTGAATTTCTCAGCTGAAATTTCAGGAATCAAAAATCAAATTACTTTTTATAATCCTGCACAATCATTATAATCAATTAAATTAGAAATTTTTTATGAAAAACATCTGTTTTAATGCTAAAGTTTTCAACCATGCAACTTCATAAAACACAAATTTAATTGCAGATGCATCCAGTACAGTTAAAGGATGCAGTAAGATACAGTTCCCATTGCAAAGAAATGAAGAAATCAAAAGAAAGAAAAACAAACTTACCATATTTGAAAAAGTCAAATCCAGCTTCCAGATTGCTCCATTTGCATCCTGAAGAAGGAAAAAAGAAACATGTAAATTGGATGCTTTCAAAATCAATTTGGAAATAAAACTGTACATGGTGACTCCTTAAAAATTCCTTAATGATTATCATTTGGAAATAGAAATCACTAAATATGATGTTGTTGTTCCTGTCAGTTCTATCCATCAGTTCAAGGTAATAGAACTTGGACAATACTTTTTGGCATTTTCCTGTCCTCAGGCAGTTCTGGCTCTGAAAGCCGGAGTCTCATATGTTACTATAAGCTAAAAACACAGCATAGCATATCATAATTCAGTTAGAAGGAACCTATAAGGATCATCTAGTCCAACTGCCTGACCACTTCGGGGCTGACCAGAAGTTAAAGCACATTATTAAGGGCATTGTCCTCCTTAAATGCCTCTTAAACACTGACAGGCTTGGGATGCAAACCACCTCTCAAGGAAGCTGTTGCAGTGTTTGAAATAATAAGATTATATATCTACAGTCAGAAATAGGTAAGAATATTTTCTATCTATCCAGAAGAAGACTGAACAAAAAGAAACACACCAGTCTGTACTGTAATCCTGCTGTTTAATACTTAACATCACCTCCTTCATTCTGTGTTTCTCCAGAGATGGAGAATGTACTTGAGTTTACATTACCTGAGCGAACCAAACAGGCTGTCCACAGTCGTGAACTTTTGACATGAAACTCAAGCTGGCATTCTCGCCAACACAAAGTTCATTCATAGGTTCCACTTCCAGTAACCCTGTGTCATCCACAGAATCAGCAGCATCTATTGTCTCAAAGTTCCACACCTTCATGGCATTAGAAGCATTAAAAATAAAAAAGGTTTTTTGTTTTTTTTATAAGGTCAGGTTATGTTTTCATACACAATTAATACGAAAATTCAAAATTATAAGAAAGCATATTGTAGATTGTACAGGTGGAGTATGAAACCTGACTGCCATATCTGCCTCACTGCTTTGAACGTCACCTAGAACAGTGACAATGAGCAACTACAATCTGGTATGTTTGGATGCAATGCAAAGTATACATAGAAGTTCTCTGTACAATTTTGAATCAACAGTAGCTTCAATTCAGCCCTAGCACTAGCAGAGCTATACATGGCAGTTTCAGAAGTACAAAGAGTAAGTGATATCTGTGGGCTCTCAGCACTGCTCGTACTGAGGAAGCACAAAAGAATGGGAAATCTAACACATCCATGTTCTGCTCTGTGGGATAAGGACAAGACATCAGCTGGCATACTCATAATAAAGTGAATTTTCCTAATGAGATAATATCAATTTTGAAAACACAACAACAGAAGCTCTAGGGTATTTGAAACCCTCCACTGTCTTTAACAGTCAGTTTCCCACTGATTATCTGAGTCCTTTCACACATCAGCAGAAGACACATCATGTCTTCCCTTACAGAGCAGACAAAGAAGACTGCAAAATTCTGGATAACTGACAGGTGATGTCAGAAACTGGTGTTATGGATAAAGGAAACACTTGGCCTTGATTTATAGAATTATATGTTAACTTCAGGATGCTTTTTCTTTTAATTGTTCCCCTATTTCAGTATATGCATCCCTGAGCTGCTATATGCAAATATTCCTGTAGTTTACTCTTCAAAATAATACCAAACGTATTAATAGGCCTGAAAATTACAAAGATTTACAAAAACTACACACAAGAAACCCCATGAGAATGCAGGCAAGAACAAAGCTGTTAGAGAACTACTGGAGATGATTTTGAGTAAGTAAAAAATGATTTATTTATTACTATTAAATAGAAAACACTGCATGAACACTATCCAATTCAAACACGCACACTGCGGAGATGTGCTCTTATTCTGTTTGTTCTGAAAATTCATTCTCAGAAAGAAACTGCACCGACAATTTGCTTCCAAAAACCTGGCAAAGGCAATATGTAACATCTACCTGCTGACCATAGATTTGCACACCTAAGGGCAGAGCAGCAGGAAAACTCACCCGAATGAAGCCATCTTTTCCAACAGTGTAAAGTCCTCCTTCATCAAGAACTAACTGGCTGATAGGACCATGGTGACAGGGCTTGTCTCCACTTCGACAGAGCTCTACCTTAATGAGCCCCCCTTCCCAAAGCAGCAAGTTGCCCCACTCAGTTCCTGAGACAACCTTCAATGCAAGTGAAGATAAACACATAAGCACCTGCACTTAATTGTGCAGAAACACTGGCAAAAACCCAGTTAACATTTGTGGTTTCCTTCCATGAAACCATTAAATCAATAGCAGTGTACAGATATTTGCAAAAGATGATAAGGGTGAGAAGATTCAGCTTTTTAGCAATGTGACATAATTTGCATGCACTGAAATGGTTAAATATTAGGAGTCTTTGTATTTCTGTACATTAACGTTGTCACTACCTCACTAGAAATCCCTCAACTCTAAGCCAACAGAGATACTTTGTGACTTACAAACTGACCATACTTTTAAATTATTGCGGAGCAAGCCTGGTTTGGGGCAAATTAATGTCATTACTTTATGAGAACAGTGCATTGAGGGTCTAATTCAAATCACTTTGAAGCAAACAGTCATCTTGTGACTTACACAGTAGACTTTATATCAAAACCTAAGAGGGAACATAACATCTTTTATTTTTTCTCACTTACCTTCCCATCAGGCAGCTCCACATAACCTAAAATGTCAGACACTGCTGTTCTTCCAAACCTGCCCAATGCTCCTTGTAACTTGAGACCAGTAAATGTGAGAGCCATCTTCCAGAACCTGAGTAGAAAGAAAACATCCCTCTCTGAATCAAGATTTCCAAAACACACTCTTCAGTCCCCCTTAAACGTTGCAATACCCTTACCAGGCATGCCTCTGAAGTCAGGGGTGTTCACTTATTACTCTTTTTCACAGGAGAATTTGTTTTTTTTCATTTGAAAATAAGATAAAGCTCTGTAACTAAACAAACATTTCCCTATACTACCTCTATGAAAAAGCTAGGAAAAGACTTTGGAATGGGTGGAATGAAGATTAAACTCCTATTTAATATTAAGCAGTGTAAAATCCATAGCTACATCTTTCCAGCTACAATCCATATATGTATAGTTAGGGATACTTATGCTATTCTTGCTGTCTTCAGTGTATGATGCTGAGCTTTGTAAATCCAAGGGATTAAGATCTTCACTGAATATCATCCAAGTACTCTTGTGGACTTGAACTGTACTATAAAATCTCACTGAGCCAAAGGTTTTATCCTAGATCTTCATAGTTCTTTCTATCTGATCATTAGTATAAAACATAACTTTAAATTACATTACAGAAAATTAACATCTACTGCAATTAGGGGTGGTTCACTGGGTGTGCAGGAGGCTTTACATTTAAGACAGCTGTTGGAAATTGAAATTTGTGGCCACGTTTGGGTGAAAGGTGATGTTTATCATGTTATAAAAGCTATGTCAGAGTTTATTCAGGGTATTTTAGCTCAAAAGAAAGTTTATAAGAGAGTTAGTTTTGTCAGATTTCCATATATAATGCATTCTAAACCACATTAGTTCCAGGTCTAAATAAGTCATTTTCTATTTCAGACCCACCTTGCAAACAAACTATAAAGCAAATCTCCAATGTTGACTTGAACTTGCTCATTTTTGTAATTGTAATGGCCAGGTAAAATGTGCATTCCTCTTTCATCCATGTTTGCTAATGATACATTCCCGTTAGTCATCTTTTACCTAGTATGACTTTAGAGGTGATATGTATCAATCCTAATCAATAAACCTACCTGATGTGTCCTGCTCCAGATGTAGTTAGTTGTTCTTCATTCTCAGCAGAAAACGTGACCTTGTAAACATCCTGTGAAAAAGCTTTTGACCTCAACACAATCTCTTCTTGTTTCCAGTTCCAGACAGTCAGCGTGTAGTCAGGGCTGCTCCCAACGCTGGCCAGCAAAGTGCCAGCACGGTTGAAATCACCAAAAACATAGGCTTTCTCAGTTCCACCTGAAGAAATGTACAGGCCCCAATATACACACACAGAAATAGGAAATACTGCTCAGAAGGAACTCAGTTTTCACTGTGATTATATTTTTTCAATAGGTAATAGCTCTTGCTTGGCTATCTCTACTAAATAAGTTTCCTCCCATGCAATAATGAAAAGGCTTGAAACCAGTGTTTTCTATTTTGCTGCGAAGGACCAAAAGGCTGTATTTCCTTCTAAACTTAAAGTGAACCACTACTCCATCTGCTGGGATCTATAAACACTGGCCCATCTCTGTAAAATGAAAATGGAACTTTTTACACTACCTTGCAGGATTCTATAGGGCCTCAGTGAAGGAAAATCGTAGATGATAAGGTTTGGCTTCTCTCCTTTTTCTCCTACTGCGAAGTACTGCTTAGTAGGGTGTGCCTTGAAAAAGCAAAAGTCTTGTTGCATGCTGTAATGACACCTTTGTCTCTATCCTGCCAGTTAATGAGTTATTGTATTTACTCACTCATTAGTCAAAATATATTGCCATAAATACTAGGTTGCATTTTTCTGTGCTTATTCTGAACAACTGCCAATCTATTGCTCAGTATCAGGTGTGAAGTCACTATGCACACAAAATGGTATATTGTGCTTATATTATGGAACCACGACAAACTGTAAAATAATTTGCTTTCTGATGCATTTTTACTATTCCTGCCTCCCTCAAAGCCCTAGCTAATTTTTCCATATCAGCATTTGTATCAGCAACCATCTACTTCAGCAAACAGCTGCAGAAAAGCCACCCTGAATGACAGTATTCTGAAGAGGTAAAAACGTACCCTGATTCCCCAGAAAAGGCTGTTTACAATGAACCAGAGCAGTCTGAGACTGGTAGTCTGACAGCCTTGTTCATGTGAAATAAAACTGAGAGATGGCAGAGCCTTCACAGAGTAAGGTGCTTCAAATCCTGAGATAGCTCTTGATACTTTTGAGCTCTTGGTAAATTTACTAGAGTGAAAACAGATATCTGTGTAGGAAGTTGATTTTTTTTAACTTCTAATTGCAAGTAAAACTCTATCCTAGTATCAGCTGTGGCTAGGATAGGCACAATGTTAAAAGGAAAAAGAGTTGCTATGAGCCAAAAGGCTTAAATAAGATTGTAATGGTGCTAAAAATTAATCCCAGCTGGCAGTTGTCAGTCCTTTACACACCTGAGCCTGGGACAGGTATTTGTCCTCTGCCAATTGTATCGTTGGGATAAGTAACCCACACTGCATGGCCCACACATTCCTTTAAGCAATACCATACTTTCTTATGTATATATATGTGCAGCTGTAGAACTCTCCTACATCTGACAACCAAGCGAACATTTTTTTCTAGAAAGTGACCAACATTCTAAAACAAGAAACGAGCCATACTGTGATAAACCCAATTCCGCAACCACTGCTGCTCCGGAGATATCTCTGAAATTTAGTTTTCAGGTTCAGGATCACTATGTGGTTGCCTGCTATATACAGCAGTGTTTGGCTGTCTATCATCAGCAGGTTTACAGGTCTGGTGGAGTCATAGCCGAAGGAATGTCTGGAAACAGTCCAATAAGGAAAAGATTGACGCTGGCTTTCTAGTTTACTAAGTGGATAGAAATGTGTAAACCAAAACTGAAATGGGAGTACTGAAACTAGTGACTAAAAGCCTTATGGCAGGAGATAGTTTTCTTCAGTATACAGTGAAAGTAAAATATATGAAGCCTCTGTAACTGAGAGTAAGGTACAAGTGAAGGCCTTCTACAGTTCACATTCTGTCCTTTCATCTCCACTACAGGACACACGTCTTGCTTCTGCTGGATCCTTTGGAGCTGCAAGGAATTTATATTCTATCCATGTTCTCTTTTCAAACAAAATGTAAAAGATGTGCACCAGATTACTAGGAACTGCTCTACAGATGAGATCAAACCAAGGAAGTGGTCAAGCTCACATCTTAAATATTTGCTGTCAGATGTAGAGTAGGGAAAATCCAGTCCTCAATAGCAACTGAACTGTGTCTGCAGAGAAAACCACTAGCACATATGAAAGGCACATATCACATCCTACTTGACCATACCTAGCAAAAGATTTATTGTAGCTCTTAATTGATAGGCATCACTTCCTTCATTCTACCAGTTTAGATCTTCTGAGCACAAGGCTACAAATCTATCTGGCTTCTTCCCCACTTCTCCCTGACTAGTTCCGTAAGGAACTATGAAGTACACAGCAGCTCTTCTGCCCTCCCCTCAGCTTCTTGGGGAACACCAGTGTGGCTACACGGACAGGGAGAGCTTTGCAGAGGATATTCTTAAGCTAGTCTTCTGCCTGGTCACATTAGCTTGTCTATGATTTCATACTACAGGAGTACTTATCACAGCAAGCACTATGCCCAGTAAGAGATGTTTATGAGATTAAGACTACATTTAAGATTAAATTCACCCAGAGCCATAACTGGTCAGCATTCTTACTTGTGTCTCAACCACAGGTATCCCAATAATGCCACATAGGCTACTCCAAATTTGACAAATACATTTTCAAGAACACATATTAAATTTCCTTAGCTTTAAATTTGTACAAGCTAAGCAAAAAGGATACTTCAAAGTAAGCAGGTTAACGGGTATCCCGGAGTCTTCAGAGACAAATGGTCGTGAACATATATCTTCATACTTGTAGAAGAAAGTTTCTGAAATCTTTTCTACCTTCTCAGGGTTCTTTTGTGCTTCTGAGGGTATTTCACTATTACCTTGCTCTTCCAAATTGCCTTCTGCACCTCGGAAGTGGGAAATTATATTCACTTCAATGTGTTATATTTAATTTATATATTCAATTTACATTCAGTTTTAGGCTCCTTGCTGATATTTGCACCTAACTGCAAAAGGGAAGGAGTCACATATTCCTTGCTTCCTTCGACAGAGTACTAAGAACTCTGTAGCTCAAAACAGGGATACTGTGTCTTAGTAACTACTTGTCCTGGAACAGTCTGTAGCAAGTGTTCCCTCAGGTTTTTAAAAACTTTACTGTGAATAGTCAAAACTGAAGTATTTAAAGAAGAAGAATTTTGAGGCTGTTTTAAAAACATTGATTTAAAAACTTACAGACTTACCAAAACAGTTCAGCTGAGGTTTGCTTGGTGTTTAGGTCTCAGCTTTAGAAACCAAGTAAATTTTAAAGTGTCTCTTTTCAGTAGCTATTGAATGCACATTGTTATACAAAACAATTAGGAAAACCACATACAACAGACCACCAGAAGACACCATTGTCCTCAAAAACGCACACTGCTCATGTGTGACCCAGTGTAGCTCTTTGCTGGGTTGCAAAGCACAATACTGTCAACTTCCAGCTAGCCATAAGCACTTGTTAAAATCAGTTTCCAGTTGGGTATCTCAGGTCAAACCCCCCCATTATCTACCTAGTTAGCTTTTCAAGCTGCCTTCAGTGAGAAAACTAGAGGAAATGGCTTTAAGCTGAAACAGGGGAGATTCAGATTAGATATTAGAAAAAAACTTTTCACTGTTAAGGTGGTCTGGCACTGTAATAGGCTGCCCAGGGAGATGGTGGAGTCACCGTCCCTGGAGGTGTTTAAGAGGTGTCTGGATCTGGTGCCGGAACATATGCTTTAGTGGTTTAGGGGTTACAGTGATAGTGCTGGGTTGATGTTTAGACTGGATGATCTTAAAGATTTTTTCCAACCTTGATGATTATATGATTCTAATGCATCAAACAATCCTTCCAAAGTGGATTTTGTTATCCATACTACCTGGATCTAGTGTGTTAGATGACACGCAGAACATCGGAAATAGATACTAAACAGGTATTTCAAGGTGAAAAAGATGTGAAAAAGATAAATACAGGCCTCTGACTGAAAGAGTCTGCTGGTATTAACAAACTGATTGCAGTATTAGCTACAGAGACAGGTGTAAGCAGCAAAAATGTTCAGATGAGGAACTCTGAGAGTTGAGCGACAGCAAGAACTGCAGACACCATGGTTATCCCAGAGCTTCACTTTATCCACAGTCACAATAAAATTTGGCAACACCAGGAACAACAACTGGAGATGAACACTTGGTAATAAGGAAGGGGAGAATAGTGGGAGAAGCAAGAAGCTACTGTAGGTTCAGTATTGAAATCACTTTAGCACAGGGGGAAATACTCACGGACACCACTGTGATCTGCCTGTGCATCTTCTCCTGGCTCCACATCAAGTCCCTCCTGTTCCCTTGGAAAAGATGCCATGTCCTCTGTTTTAAATGTAGAAAACAAATTAAAACAATTGCAATGTATCTCAATGTATTTAAATGAAATTCATGAGTCTTCAATGGGGTAACACAACTGACATCGCCAAAGTTAAAGACATAGTTACAGACTATTTGCATAAATATACAGTGGAGCATTCAAAGACCTGAATTCTAATTGCAAACCCAGTAATGACGTGTACAATTTGTATCAGCCATTTCACCTCTGGCTGTCTCAGTTATCTCCCATGAAAAATGAGATAATAATACTTACCCATCTTAGCAAAGTGTTTTGATGTCTATAGAGAAAAGAGCTATAAAATTTGAAATTATCGTAACTAATTAGCAATCATTTATCTTCTAAGACTATCATAGTTTTCATTATAAATTAATTCCTATCTGGAAAATGCTTTAGGCTGAAAGAGTGCATGAACATTTCCTCCCACGTTGATATCTGGGTTCTAGTTAGAGAAAGCTGTTGCAATGTCCACTGTGTGTATTGTTGTTGTGGTGTTCAAGCACTGTGCCAAAACAAATTTGGAATTTAAAAACTCAGAGGAGGCTCCTTTGGCTGCTTTGGCTGCAGATTCTGGGTTTCGTGAGTTGGCTGATACAGAAAACTTTTGTGCAGGTTCACTGTAACAAAGGCATGCATTTCTCTGAATACTGATTTTCTTTTCCTGTATATATATTTTTTTTGAGAGAGATTTCCTAAATCAAGAAGAATTGAGGCTTTTGATACTGAAAACTGAGATAGTGGCTGGTAGAAGTAGTGTCATAATTTTAGTGGGGAAAAAACAAGTCACCAATCAGAATTTTGTTGCCCTTTGTCCTAGTAAATCAAGACACTGACTTGAAACACTGTACAAGAATCACATCAGTTCCACCATTTCTAAGAACTCAGTCAAGAATGAATACAGATTTTCCTTGTTTCAGTGGCCAGTGCTGTGAATTTCAGCATTTTCTTTCAAGTTGCCTTTCTCTTAGCTATGTTCTCAAAAGCCAAGGAATGGAGAGATGTGTTCATTTGGGCATATGCTCTCAGCTATTTCAAAACTATATTTTTTGAGCAATTTTGCTGCTACGCAGAATCCTTATGGATGCGATAATATCTCCATCTCAAAAAATATCAGTAAATTTTGGACATTAAGAGAGTTCTCATCTCAGACAATTGCCTCCTTTATTCAAAATACAGAATAAATAAATGAAATGTGTAAAAGATTGCATATGAGTTTGTTCATTAAACCCTGAATAAAACTATACGTAAAAGGTATAGGGCAAATATATTCAGAAAACTTTAGAGAAATAGTCTAAGTAAAAGAATTTACTTAGTACTTAGAAAGGGGGGGGGGTGTGAAACAAAGAAGCTAAAAAAGACTAATCAGTGATAGACTGGGAGTTTCTTACTAAGCAGCTGGCTTAGTAAGAATGTTTGTATGTCCTTGCTCTACACTGACATGCACACTTCAAAGAGAGGAGATACTAACCAGGGCCAAGAAGAAAGTGATAAGAGGAATGGGCCCCAAGAAAGGAATTTAGGGATGCGCCAGCCGGGCAAACAAAGTAAGATCCAAAAGGTAGCTAAGAACCTGCTGAAGCGAAACAAGTCAAGGTAGAAGCTCACAGCAGGATGTTATCTTATCTTGCCAGATGTGTAGAACACTAACCTTAGGATTGCTTTAGCTTATTAACACAATGAATACCGCAAGTTAAGCAATATATATAAAAAGCCTAACTGTAGAATAGAAAATATAGGTATAAAGTTAAAAGGTGTACAACAGGTCGACGAACCTACACACGAAAGCACCGAGACGGGAATCTCCAGCCCTCCGATCACAAGGAGGTGGGAACAGACTCCCTAGCAACAGCGGGAACAGCGTCCCTAGCAACAACGGGAACAGCGTCCCTAGCAACAGCTCGCCAGGCGCAGAGTGCACCGCAGAGCTCCACGGAGCGGGAACAGCAGAGTCTCACCCCGGGGGTTTGGGGAAGGGTGTGCGCCCTTGGCGGAGCAGAGACTCCCCAGGCCCAGCGCTGTTTTGCTTGCTGAAGCCTTGCTCAATTTCCTTTCCTAATTGAACTGGCTCCTGCCAATTTATTGAGCCGCAATTTATAACAAAATGGGTGTTTATTTGGCAACATGTAAACAAATTCAGTGAGATGACACCACTTTCTTTCTGTTTTGTCATGCTGAGCTTTTCTTCATTTCAGAGAAAAAAGATGTTTAAGTGTGTAAGCCTCACAAATGCAGTGCCTGCCTTCACAAATCCTGTGACTGACACTTCAACTGCATAAAATACACCAAATTAAATAATGATCAAAAAGCAGCCTACGGTTTTACTTTAGAAACAGAACATATCTGTTATTTTAAGTTGTCTCTGTCCCACCACTGATTGTGTGAGTGTGCTTAAAAGACAGCACCTATCAGCTCTTATATTCACAGAAAAGTGAAAATCAGGTCTGTCCACTAACTCAGGATACACAGAAATGGTGAACTACTACTGCACAACATAACTGCAGTGCTATTCGTACCAGCAATAAGCAAGAGACTAAAAATTCAGCTCTACATTGTGCTACTTCTGCAAGACTTCATTTTTTGGTTCACTCCAAAATGTGCTATTTTTTATAGAAAAGCTTTGGCCACTGGTGGGATTTTAAAAGAAAACCCACACCTGGTATTTCTTTCAGGAGAGATTGTCATGCGTGTTATTCCTTTATTTGTCTTTATTCCAAGTGGAGGAGCTCAGTGTGTCCCAGGACTTCCAATCCTGATTCCTGTTAGCACTGCACTGTGATCCTTACAGGCTACACATTCTGCGCTTTCAGACCTGGGGGTAACACTGGCCTAACACATGGCTGCAATATTCAGCTATCATGAGGGGTGTCTGCCACAAGGACAGCATACTAATCACCTCTTGCAGGATGAGGCATCTTCTCCAAGTCTAGCTCTGCTTTGTATGTGTTGGACCTCTTCCCATCTGCCAAGTCCCATTTGTTTAACTCTCTTTCAAGCACAGTCTCCTCAGCACTTAATTCTTCTGAATCTTCCATTTCTTTCAGAAAAACAGCAGACCACTGAACAACTCTCTCAGCATTCCTTCTAGCCTTCAGACCACAACAGAGTACATCAGCACTTTACTGGGCTGCTGCTGAGTGCAAAATGTGCAAACAGGACAGCTTTGCAAAACTTAATTTCAAAAACCAAACAATTAAACTCATTCAGTGCTTATATACACAAAGAAAAATATCTCCATGTAAATCAGGCATAGCTAACCAGTGCTGTCTGTGTATCATTATCCAACAGCATTGCCACAAAATTAGTAATAAAAGTCAGTTTGGGACAATCAACCCAAGTTCCCAAGGAAAAAAAAAAATCTGTACTAAAGAATATTGCTGTCTCTTTTACAACAATTAGAAGACTTGAAAGCAAGGAGAATAAGAGAAGATACAAATTCTCCCAGCAGCTGAGTATATAAATTATTTACCAGTCAGGACTGAGACAGCAAGGATAAAGCTACAAAGCAGGATCTAGACACATCATCTTTATCATAGCCCCATTGTCTCTTTCTCCCCTCCATCGGAGAGAGAAGTGGACCAGAGAGCCCTGCTTAGAGCCAAACTACTGCTATGCTGCACCCATTCAAGGCATTTTCCTACAAAACTGGGAGAAACAAAACCTGACTCTAATTTCCAGTCTTACCCCTAAAGTAGCCCTCTGTATAATCCACATGTGCTAGCTCTGTTTCATGCAAGCAAAAGTTTCGGGTCTCTTAGAGCTGCCTTGTGAATGAAGGTTACCAGGGTTTTATTAAACAGAAACGAGAGCGGGTGACATCACCAGTTACTTATTAACTTACAGTATAAAGGAAAATCATAAAAATGAACATGAGAACAGAGCCACAAGTGCAACAGGTCATAAAATCGAGCGTCTCACGCAAGGTAAAGCAAAACAACGAGTCCCGCATTTCCAACGAAGCCGCAGGACATTCATTCCTGAATTTCCTGAAGTTCAGCAATCTACATGAGAACAAAGGCTGTTCCTTCCCGAAAGCCCCAGTGAGGGAGGACTGGTCCCATTCACATTCAGCACAGAAGCGCAGTCCCAGCACTGCCTCAGCCCGACATTCTCCCAAGACTTTCCCACCAGGAAAAAGCGGTGGCGAGGCAGGAGCCCGGGGGGTAGCAAAGGGACAGCCAGGGGGACACACGGGAGAGCAGGCAGCGATCCTCCGAGCGGAGGGTGCCGGCTCAGACCCGCGGGGAGGAGGAGGAGGAGGAGCGGGGGCCGAGCCCATGGAACGCGGGGCCCGA